ACTTCCCCCATCTCCGGTATTTCCTCAACAACCCTCATCTCAAACACAGATCAAGTTCCAGGCTCCAACACGGCGATCTCCTCCGACTATCCGGCCCTGAAGACACCTGGATCTTGTACATTTGAGAGTACCAAAGGATCCGGGCTTGAAAAAGAAACAACTCCAAGCCATGTCACAAAAGTGCAGACAGAGGTGGTCATCCCAGGGCCGAGTTCTTCAAAGCCGAAGTCTACAGAAAAGGTATATAAATATGAGTTGATATTTTTGTTGTGCTTTGTATTTTGTGAATATACTAGAATTCAATGTCTATTGCCGTCGATCCATTTTCATCATTTCTGAATATCAACAGGGTGTTGAGACTGTCTGTTGGGATTCATGTTCTGTTAGAGATATAATAAAATCCTTTTCTGGTTTTGCCTGTTGAACCTAAACCTTCTGAAATTGGTAGCCAAACATTGATAATAGCAACTAGAACGATGCTGATCATCAATTGTGTATTTTCTCTTGTTTTTATCCTGATTCTTTCCCCTCCCTTAACCTTTCTACCCCCCATCCCCCCCCCCCCCACCCCCACCCCTTTCGAACAAACGTTTTTCGAGGCGAGTGACCGTTGTCTTGCAGGTGACTTGGGTAACTGGTGTCTGCGAACGGAAAATACTTTTGTTCTTTTTTTTAATGACATACTTAATATGAAAAGTCTTATATTGTATTCTATACACCTAGTCACACAATATCTAAAACCCATTTAATAAAAAAAACTGAGACAGCATGACTTGCACGCTGTTCTCATTTATTCCTTTCCAGTTTGGCAATTTTGCCCCAGTCTACCCCTGGTACCTACATGACTTACAGTGTTATAAGCACAGGAATAACAAAACCACTCAGTGTGTCAGTTATGCCCACTCAGTGTGTCAATTATGCTTCCACGAGACTAACAGACGCATTTCCTATTTCCAAATTGCAAGCCACGACTGGGGCCCGATGCTGTCACGCCAGTATCGAAAGAGGAACTAAAGAGGCTGAGAGGCCGAGAGGATGCCCGGAAATCTCGCCTGAAAAAGAAAGAGAGATTGGAAACGCTCGAGACGGTATGAGCTGGTTTTGCAAATAGCTTCTCATTTGAAGATCGCTTTTTTACATTATGTGCCAATGTTTATCATTTTGAAGCTTCACAGATTTTAAAAAATGCTTTTTTTTATTTTTCTCCACCCCTCCCTCTCTTTTCTTTCCCCTACCTGTCTCCTCTCCATCATATGCTCCTGCCCCCCCCTCCCCTTCCCCCAACCTTGTCCCCCTCTCCTACCTGTCCCTCTGTCCAACCTGCCACAGATGTGCAAAGAGTACAGGGCTACAATACAGATCTACCGGAAGGCGTTGTCCATATACCACCAGAAGCTAACAAAGGCTTCGGCCCTGTGGCGATCCAGGGCTATGACGTGGTACCCAGTTGTGGAGGGCACTCAGCAGTTTCATAACCCTATGGAGATTGACTGTATGCTACCAACTGAAGGTGAGAGCTTTGAACTTTGTACTTTGAACACGAATTCATGAGCATGGCCAACTTGCAAAGTTCGAAAAAGGTCCGAACTTTTAAACAGGAGTTTCTGCTCTAGCAGTTAGACGCTTAGCCGTCGCGCGCCGAAAAGGTGAGTTTGATTTCTCTGTGAAGAGGTTCTTTTTGATGGAGCATCTTCGTCCGTCTACCTGAATGTTATAATCCTCTCAGCTCTAGTTGGTCCTAAAAGAAAATTATCGAAGCCCGCCTCCTAACTGATCCAAACTGTGTCGATTTTAGGCGTAAAACTTCTATAATTGTATTTTTTCTAAACTTTAGAACGTTTTTCTTAAAATGTTTTCCTCTTCTTCCTGTGTTCTGAGAGGTTATAACCAGCCTCGCCTTCGAAATGATGTAAATTCTTTATCCCTTTACTGCATACTGTTGCACCTAAAGGGGAGCGCTACTGTACACACTTAAATTTTTTATGTTCTAGTTATTTCTCCTCAATTTTGACAGCCTTTGTCATCATGATACTGCTCTGACTCTGACTGTGGTAGCGACGCAATCACTCTTTTACTGGGCGAATAAAGTTCCGTGAACCTGAAACCAGAAATGTTCTCAAAGTAACGACAAAGAGTCCTGGACAAGTCAATGTGAAGGAAAGCAGACACTTTACTCATTTTTTAAAAACATTAGTTGAACCTTGGACTTTGTGAAAATAAGTTGGCTATATCAGTTGATCAAACTTGTAAGGAGCAGAAAGAAGTTTTTCTTTTGCTGCCTAAATGGCAACACCATGCTTTCAGGGACTAGACATGCTAAGCTAAGATTCAAACAGAGATAAGTAGTGGAAGGGACAACTTATATGGTCTGTCTGTCTGTCTCAGAGCTAGATCTCCACAGACGTCTTGTCTGTCGGTGTTATTTTTCTTTTCTCTATCCCCCCCC